CACAGTCGCACGCCCCCATGCCACATTCCCCCCTCATTACACAGTCGCACGCCCCCATGCCACATTCTCCAGCCATATCAGAGCCTGAGGCAGAGAGGCCTCTTGGAATAATCTCAGGCGTCTTCTGCCTGTGGACAGACGTGGCCTGACATCTCCAACATTTGTTTTATGACACTGTAAATACACTCCACCCTCTTTCTGCTCTTTCGTCTGTCTCTCACTCCCTCGCTCTCATCCTCATCCTACCCCCACCCCCATGGAAACAAATTCAGGAGCAGGTGTGTTTTTTTCTACCAGACACTCTCACTTTTGGCTGTATATATTTTCCTCGCCTCCCTCTGTCCCCTGGAATCTGTCTGTCCCTCTGCATCTGCTGCCCCCTCTGTCTCTTCCTCTCTGTCTGTCCCTCTCTCCTCTGTCCCTTTGTATGTCCCTCTTACTTCTGTTCCTCTATTTATATCCCTGTTGCCTTTGTCCCTCTGATCTGCCTCTATGCCTCTATCTGTCCCCCTCTGCCTCTGTTCCTCTTGCCTGTCTGTCCCTCTCACCTCTGTCCTTCTGCTTCTATCTGTCCCTCTCACCTCTGTCCCTCTCACCTGTCCTTCTGCCAGTCTCCCCTCCTCTGTCTTGCCCCCATTCTCCTGGATGGATGACCTCCCCACTGACATCTGTTCCTATGTCACAGGTGGGTCTGCCTGCCAAGTCCGGTGTATCCGGGGGGATACTGCTGGTGGTGCCCAACGTCATGGGTGTCATGTGTTGGTCGCCGCCCCTGGACAAGCTGGGCAACAGTGTGCGGGGCATCCAGTTCTGCACGGTAGGTGCTGGGGAGGGGCTGCCCTCTATACCTCCCCCTTTCACACTTGGAGGGACGTACCATCTCTGTGTGCTATGACTCCACTACATCCACTTCATGTTCGGGGGGGAGGGGTTAAAAAGCCCGGGACCTGGTGAACATGCACTCTTTTCAGGGCCCCTTCACCCGCAGTGCCCCCCTGCCCATCATTAACACACCAGCTATCAGCCACTGCGCAGTAAACATTCCTCATTCTCAGGTAAAGGCTGCCCCAAGGCTCGGAGGCCCTGAGGGCTCTGTGTCTCCGGCTGGATATTTCCCAGCAGGGCAGCGAATTCTCCATAAAGACGAGATGCCGTCGCCCGTCTGTCTGTTTCTCCCACCCCTAATATCACGGGTCCCTGTAGGACAATATTAGATCGGGGCCTCGGCCTTTCGTGCTGGTGTCTGCAGGGGTCTCCGGGGTCTGATTCTGGCGGGTCGCCGGTGAGTTAATCAGGGCTGCTGGGAGCTTGTCTGATAGCAATAAAAAAATTACAAAAAAAGCGCGATAAGCTGATGTATATTTGATACGAGCGCTTCAGACACACACACTCCCACTCAGATTCCAGTGTCCCTCATTCTGTGGCAAGTGCAATGGGCTGAGACAGCAGTTGCTATGATACATAGATCTCCGGGACGATTTTTTTCCCTTTTTCATAACTGCAGTTGTCAAGGTTACCATAATCTAATAAAAAAAAAAGAAATGTTTCCATTACAGGACATCTGCTCGCAGAAACAAGGCCAGGAGTAGAAACCACCTAAAATGTGTCAGTGCTGATAAGTATTGCATAGCTACAGCATTTGGTCACACACGGAACATTTTTAATGGGGGAAGTGTAAGGAACCGCCCACTGGCCCAGCAACATAATCCAACTGGGCAGCTGAATCCTCTGAAACCATTCATGATCCATTTGCTGTATTTTTTGACCCCACTAGATGGTGCTCTTGGTTTGCTTTGGGGCATGCTTTGTGCTCTTTTTTTAAACAGAGAGCACCATCTAGTGGGGTCAAAAAATACAGCAAATGGTTCAAGAATTGTCATTTTGTCCATCGATATTTACGCTTTTAATAAAACCGAATAAACTCTGACTGCAATTGTTTGAAAACATTTTAGATACAATCACCAGATAAGTGAGGCTGTTCTGCTTACTACGTGTATTTGGCTAAACTCGTTCCGGATCACAGTGTCATAAAGGATTTGATTTTGGTAGCTAAATCAATGTCCAGGGACACAATATGTACAAAGTTTAGTCTTGTTCTGGGACTGCAGGGTGGCTACATACTCGTACAGTGTCAGCTTGGTTTGTCAACTCAGTACATGGTCTCAGTATAGCTGAGTGATTGTGGTAACACCACTCCCCTGGAAGTCACTAGAATTAGCAACTGCAGACAGCCAAGAACTAATTATAATGTGAATTACTGTACATGACATACACCAATTCTAACCAGCATAACCTATGTCTAGTCTTAAGTGGTCACTGAGCAGAAGGACAGGGAGAGAGGGGCAGAGAGCAGGGGGGGTTATGGGGAGTCCAGGGTCACAGAGCCCTGTGGGGCCAACTGTCTGAGTAGTGTGTGGATCAGCAGGTTAGGACACTGATCGGAAGATTGCTGGTTCAAACCCCAGGGATGACAGAGTGATTTCACCTTTCGATCCTTGATGCCCATTTGCCTGGGTCTGTCAGCCCCTGCTTTCTCAAATATGTATATTGACTTGGATGAAAGCATCTGCTCAAAAACTGTTATGTAAAATGGAAGCTTATGTGGCCCTGTGAATTCTAGCATTTTTATGTTACGCATGCTGTAAGTCTCCTGACCAAGCCAGCTGTGTCCGGTGGGGTATCTCACTCCAACCTGTGTTGTCCCACAGGACCTGGTATCTCTCTTCAACTTCCACAACTATGACAACCTGCGGCACTTCGCCAAGAAGCTGGATCCTCGCCGGGAGGGTGGCGACCAGCGGGTAAGTGGCCCCTCTCCATAAACCCACCAGATATGCCTAGACCCCCTCAGAGCTGAGCCCAAGGTCATGTTGTCCTCGAGCCATCTGTCTGTCTGCAGTAATGTGGGTGTGGTGGTTCTGTGAGACAGGTTGTAGGTGGTAGGTTCCCCAGCCTTACATGCAGTGTAACTCTGTCCTGCCTATAGTAAAACAGAAGCTGGACTAACCAGGACAGCATGTAAGAGGGGCCCTTTAGCTCTGTCTTGAGGATGTTTAATAAGTCACAGGAGCCTCATCATGTCATTACCAGTGTCCTTATCTGCTGGATTCGATTGAAACATTCATAGGTTCAATGAAACGATACTAATTTTACACCGCTGTGTATAGCTTGTTTAGGACACATAGGGTTGGGTAGCTTAACGCCACCCCTGAGATTCATAGCCCACAGAGGCAATCTCTTCAAGGCCTTGTTCTTTCTGACATGCATGTGATGGCCCTACCACGTGACACGATGTCGGCGCTGGTCCGATGATCTCAGAAAGGTCGCCGGAGGGCATGACGTTCCTTGTGTTGGGGTGGGCAAGTGCCCCTGGCACTGATCCCACCGCCCCCCCTGCCCCCAATCAGCGAGACACAAGAGTAAGCACTAACGTGTCATCCGTGTTACCCGAAACAGCAGCACACCTTCGGACCGATGGATTACGAAAGCCTTCAGCAGGAGCTAGCGCTCAAAGATACTCTGTGGAAAAAGGTGTCTCCCCAGGAGTGTGATGAGGACAGCTCCACTACCGTAGTCTATAGGATGGAGAGTGCGGTGGACCGCAGCTAAGCAGGGGAGGGGCCGGGCAGGGGCTGAGAAGAGGTATCCCCCCGTGCGCTAACGCTCGCTAACGCTCGTAACTGACGAAGCTGTTAACTACCACAGTGTTCATGACTGTACATATGCCCTGTTCTGTAATCCCCCTACACTCCTCTATTGCTGTATTATTTAATTTTATTTTTAATTTCTGTTATTCCATGTATATGTTGTCTCATCGAAAATGGTGTTGTCATCTTCAGACTGGCAAAGCTCAGTGGGGTAGGGGGATCTGAAGGAACCAAAGCCAGGTGGGGAAGGGGGGGGGGGGGGTGAATTGGAGGGGGTCTTGCAGACTCCTATTGAAATGACATTGAGCTTGCCCTTGTCTAGATTTCTGGGCCGGGGTGAGCGGTGTGTCATGTGCCCGGTCCTGGTATGTTGTTGAGCTCTCAGTTCCCTCTGTGACCTTTTAGCTAATTGGTCACCTCAAGTGGGACCTCGCCCCTGTGAATGGCCTCTTTGATTTATACTGTTAATCACCTGAAATTATTTTTAGGTGTGTCATTGCCACCCTTTGCATTCACATATTCATGTATTTATAACTGAAATTTAATGATGACCACGATAATGATGAAGAACATGATAGCTGCCGGTGCTAATGCAGTTATCGTAGACTGGACAAGGTGTCGGCCTTAAACTCATGAAAACGGGAAGAGTGCTTTGGGCGAGCCGTTTCAGGCCACACTTGGATACCATGCGTGTTTTCTAGTGAGCAAGCGGGAGAGAGGAACCTGAGAAGACTCAACAGCAAAGCAGAGCCTATATGGGGATAAGTGAACCTTGTAAGACCTTCTTTGTATAGGCTGCTGTCATAGAATTTCTGCTGCAAAAAACAGTGTTTTCTTAGAGGCCTTAATGTGTCCAGGTACCATGCATAAACTGTACCGTATCAGTGGACTTAGCTGGAATCTTCCACTAATAAATGTCAGCTTTAATGACTGTTTAATAGCATGTACTTTATGTTTATGTGGTAATTCTTTCTTTTTTGTCTCTATTTGAGATTCTGTAAGCTTGAAGAAGCCTGAACTTGTATTTGAAAAAAGATTTAAGTTTGTCTTTGACAATGGTTTCTTTACTGAATGGTTTTATTTTGAGGTGCAATGCATTCAAAAGCCTTGCGTTAGGTCTGCCCTAATGGACACCATAGCTTTAAGCCGATACCAGAAACAGAACAGCTCAGTGTTCACTGGTTTAGCACCTCCCTTGATCTGGGGGCTTAGCAATAGATTGTCTCAAACCTTCACTCTCACTCCTGAGCCCCTGTAAATCTAAGTATCACCTGTAATGGTAACTTAGGCCTGTAGCTTCATAATGCAGCGTAGCAGCGCAGTCCTGCTAATCGAAGTCCTGTTTGTGTTCATTCCTTTCTGAGCAGAAAGCTACTGCATACTTGAACTTGAAGGGGGTCGGTAGCCTTTCAGTGTTCCACAATGTGAGAAATGGTTTTTGAATGCAGTACCGGTGTTTGTTTGGAACACCTGGACACTTTGTGTGTAAAATGTGTACAAGAAAACCTTTAACACATACTGCTCCTGTATGACAACACTGCTTGTCTTTGCTCTGGGTTTATTTATCCTTCTTGCATCCATTTCTTTTGTACCACCTAATAAATTAGTTTTAAATCCCATCCCCTTGTTTATTTTTGTTTTGTTATACAGAGCATTCGTGGCTGGAATAAAACAGGTGTCCTTTAAGAAATCACTTTAATGGCAGCTATTCGGCCATCGGATAAGCTGTTCTGTTTATATAAATGCGTTAATTTTCAAAATTAAAAATGTCCTCAATGGATATAAAGGGCTCCTGTTTTTTCCTCTTGTGGAAGGGATTAATCCTTTTTCTGAAAATGTAAAAGGGAAACACAAGGGTGTCATTGTTTGTAGATTGAAATTGAATGTTCAGCTAGTCAGTGTGAATGTTTTGCTAAAGATACTGCAGATTGGTGATGGCCTGATCGCTGTCAGGTGTAGGTATGAGCCGACTCTGCCATGCGGCCTCCTGCCAAGGCCAGAAACGCGTGTGTGGCTGCACACACACACACACACACACACACACACACACACACACACACACACACACACACACAGACACAGAGGCATGGCTGCTCTTTCCGGTCATAAGACCGCTGCTGCTTTTCTTCAAAGTTACAGCGCTGCTCCGAGTAACGTTTTTGGCTCTGCTTTTCCACGTTACTCTGGATAGTTTTGGGTGCAACTCCTGAGGTTTTGCTGCATTCCCCATTTAGTGTCACACACTTGAAGGCACTTGCAACGGTGGTGAAATTGAGTGTGTCTGTGCTGTCCCGCTGTGCCTGAGGTAGCGCCCCGCTCGCTTACTTTTACGGTGTTTGCCGCACATCCTCTGCATGCTTCCTCGCGCCTCTGTCCTCTAACTCCTGTGAGACCCAGCCCTGAGAGGCTGAGACTAACTACTCGCTTGCCTGCCCCCAATAGCCTTGCTTATTCTGCAGCGATCTGTCAGTGTGTCATGGTAAAACACAAAAATATACGAGGTAGTCGTCACATGCTTTTTATGCTTTGCTGATGGCATTGTGACTGAGCGCCAGTGTCATGTGTGACGTTACCGTGACGCCACGGGGAAGGGGATCTGGTGGTTTCTAACGTGCCTTTCCTGCTAGTCGCAGGCTACCCGGCACACTCAGACCCCAGTGGCTTGCTTCCTGTTAGCTGAGGTGTCTCCATGTGCGTGCCTCGTGTCGCACCTCTGTGCTGCCCCAAATTCCTGCTTCGTCACTGCACTAGTGTGTGTGCTTCTGAGCATGTGTGCGTGGCAGGGGCGTCGCATTTTTAATTACAGACAGACTGTAATGTGTGTGTCTGTGTGTGTGTGTGTGTGTGTGTGTGTGTGTATATATAACTGGATGTATGTGGCACTTTGCATTGACACTCAAATTTTGATTCCAAGTGCCACCTAGTGGCCATCGGTGTCTCATCACTTCGCCAGGCCAAAGACACTAGGAAAACGTGATTGGAGATTTCTGTCAATTGATGCCTTTTTTTAAGTGCATGGGAAATAAATATCTGCTAAGGCATAGATTCTCTAAGGAAAAGGCACTGAGGACAGAATCTAGCTAACACAAGGAACCTGCTTTCTCAGGGTGTTGTTGATCCCATAGAATTGTCTATAGCCTTAATTTACCTCGGAGAACATAAATCTGAGTCGTGTAAAAGCAGTTGAGATGAGACTAAGAGATGTGTGGCTGGTGATAACTTGACATTGCGTCTGTGTAGCGATGCAGCACCAGCCCCACCCTGTCTGTGTCTGTCGGTCAGATTTAGTAATCATATTTTATTTAGCCCATTTTTATGAGCAGGGTCACCACAAAGCATCACAGCTGATCTGGGTTAGGCCTCAGAGCAGCTTACTGTTGGGTTTGATTCAAGATTCATGAAGGCTTTAAGCGGTAGTTGTGGGTACCATCCATTATTTTTTCCCCAAAATTGCCGCTGCCTTAATTGTGTCTTTTAAAGACATTTCATTGCCTCCACAGGTGATTTGAGGATGAGGTTGCTTTTTCCCATTTAACTCTATTCACAGCTTTTAACACCTAATAACTGTTCCTCCATCTTGGCAATGTTCTTTCTAGGTTTTTTTCCTGGGAAGCCACTGAACCTTTTACCCATGAGCTCATGAGAAGCCGTGAGATGATGCCACACCCCTCGGTTCACGAGCGCTGGGCGAACAGGAGTCTCCCCCAGACTGGGAGTGTGCCGGATCTTAGGCGTCGCCAGGCCCCCACCCCATGATGTCGCACTATGACAAGCTGCTCTTCTGTCTCCCCTGCAGGTGAAGTCAGTCATCAACCTCCTGTTTGCAGCCTACACTGGGGACGTGTCCGCACTGAGGAGGTATGACTGCCGCCAATTCTGCCTGAATGTCACACCACGTCTAGTGTGGGTGGTGGCACTTTTCGTCTGAGTCCTGGTCACAGAGTTTAGAAATGTCGATGGATCTTGTGTATGGCAAATGAGACCCACGCTCTAAAGAGGTCGTCATTCAGCTGTCATCTTTGTGAGAGTGGTGCTTGTCGTGCTCCTCTTGGCAGGTTTGCGCTGTCCTCCATGGACATGGAGCAGAGGGACTATGACTCCAGGACAGCCCTGCATGTAGCTGCTGCTGAAGGTAGAGAAATGACTGCCGCCATTTTGTATATCCACCACAAATGATTGGTTGAATGGTTGATTGGTTTGATGGATGGTTGATCTATTGATTGGTTGGTTGGAGTTGGCTTGTTTATTGAATAGTTCGACGGTTGGTTAGTTGACTAATTGGTTGAATATGTGACTGGTTGGTTGATTGGTTGGTTGGCTGGCTGGCTGGCTACTCTAAGGAATCTTTTCATTTTACCATAGCACAGTTACTTTCCTGTAAGGGGACAAGATTGGGGCTGTTATGGAGCTCATCTTGCTTCCTTTCGGTCAGCCATTTTTGCCTGCTGCATTGTTGGAGGGCACGTGCCTGCGTAGTCATGACTTAGGAGAGCACTCTCTGTGCCCTCGGTCCCGTTTGCTCTTCCGCTCGTCTGCCTTCGCTGGGGACGGCTAAGTGCTGGTGTAGCACTACTGGTCTGTAGCCTGAACGTTACTCTCTTCCCAGGACACTCGGAGGTGGTGCGTTTCCTGCTGGAGGCCTGCAAGGTGAACCCAGAGCCCAAGGACAGGTAGACCGAAGCGACTGTCCATTTCTCAATAATTAGCCTTCAAACCGAAAGAGTAGGAGACTTAGGTTTACACCCGTGCCAGCCTGTGGAAAGCCACAGCACGGGTTTGAGGGTCTTCATGTGTACAGCTGAGAGTGTCGTTCCAATTCCCGCTGTCTTCACATCTAGATGGGGCAATACTCCTATGGATGAGGCGGTGCATTTCGGACACCACGACGTTGTCACTATCCTCCAAGACTACCAGAACAAATACAGCCCCCAGGAAGGCACTACTGACAAGGAGAGCGCCCAGAAAAACCTGGATGGTATGCTGTAGAACCACGGGGTTGGGCGGGCTGCCACAGCGCCCCCTTTCCTACAATATTAAGACAGTGTGGCTGTCTTTGTTTTTTTCTTGGGGATGTGTCTTCGTTGCGGGTATTGTTTGATTGTGGTAGTGCACTTGTTTATACCCCAAAAAGGTGCTTTATACCTCCTTATTCCCCTACCCCCTGCTCTTCCATGGTGTTCTGTTCTCCCATTGCACTCTTTTCTTTACACTGGGATTTTCAACGTGCTATTCCTCCTTCTTGGACTAACTGTACGGGTGAGTGGGCCCTGTTTTCCTTTGTATGTATCGATGTACAAAAATATTTACCGATGTATATGCGTATAGAAGCATACCATGTATTTGTAGACCACTTTATTGTTCCTAACAATAACCAGTCCTGTAGCACTGTTGTGATATCCCATCATGCTCAGCACTTTTTTCTCCTGTTGATCAGTTTTAAATAAGCTGGTCCAGGTCTGACAACCGCACATTAAGTTTATCCTCATTGGTTTTTTTAATTGTTTTTGTAGATTTCTGTTGAGTGCACAAGACATTAATCCCTTAGCTAATTTTATTTAGTAACTTTTCGTATTTGTCCCTCTTCTCCCTGGTCATCTCGCCTTCGAAATTGCTCAGTTGCAGTCTTTAGTCATTGCAAGATTCACTCCGTTTTCAAACACCTGGTGAGGTATTTCCTCTGCCGTTCTGAGGGAGGAGTCAACAGTGTGGCACAGCAGCCCAAACGGCCGTTTTGTGTTTGGGCGCCCCGCGATCAGCACACACGCAGACCTGAGAAAACAGCAAGCAAATCCACTCCAGCACATAACCAAGCAGCTGGGAGCTGACCACCACCAGAAGATATTCCCAATGATCTCAAACTTAGATGAGTATAAAATTACAAGAGCGCCCTCCAAAGGTGGTCAGTCATACTGCACCGGGAGAAATACCCTCAGTTAAACTATCTCACTGTTTAGTACTAATTGATGCATGTATATTTGTACAGTTGTTGTCTCTGAGTGAGTGAGAGGGAATTTTGTTAAGTTTAAATGCCCATGAGCAAACAAGGAACGTCGCCTCTCTACCTCCAGGCAGTAGGCATTTTGTGGAGATTGTCCACTCGTGGACAAGCTTTCGGGGATCGTTCTGCACTGCGGTTGCATCATCCATACGGCACGCAAACTGACATGGTTTTTCCCGTGGAATCATTGCCGCTTCCCAGTACTGCAGTGTATGCTACACTTTAGCCAGGCCTGTATCGCATATAGGCTTTGTATTTCTTTGTAGCACCCATGGTCCTCATGTTAACCTTCTTTAGCATTTTGTTCAGATCAGTCAAAATCTACAACTTTCTCAATGTTATATTGATGTTCTCAGATTGTTTTTATCTAGCCTGCATTTTCCAGTTCACACTGGCGTATCTGTGCCACAGTGTGTTGTAATGGACAAGTATGGCGATATGTTTATTTCAGTGTGTCTCAAATAAAAAAACAGCATTAAACTAAATGAAGGCATGTTCTGATGATTTTAATAGTTTGAGATATTGTATATGGGAAAACCAAACGTATTCAACTTCATACTGATTATTGCACCACATTGACATATATTAGTGTACTGTACATTGTTTTTACCATGTTGAACTGCTCCTTTACATTTCTTTGTACAAGAAAATTCCAGATACATACCATAACACAACACATTACTAAAATAATAATAAGAATAGATAACAAATGTAAGAGAGCTATTTTGAATTCTTCACAGTAGATGATCTTCCTGGGTTCTCTTAGGTCTGGAAACGGGAACACATCTGCAAGCACAGCAAAAAAAGACTCATTAAACCTGTAGGTCATCAACCAGTTCCTGCTTTATGTTACAGATAAATGGTGCTGAGGTACAATCTGCGAAAAACCATCTAAAGCAATGGTTCACATATGTAGCATTTGCAGGTTAAATGTTCAGGCAGCAACCCTAAAATATGACCAAATGGGTAGATCAGTGCCTGTGACTGAGGGTGCAGAAAAGAGCATCTCAAGATCTGCAGACCAAGAGACAGGAGAAGCTGCTGCATGGAGAGAGACAAATCGAGGGGATGTACCACAGTGTCGATCTCGGCAGGGATCATCTGCGAGAGGGCGTGATATTGCTCATCAGATAAGGGCAGTATGTTCTCAAGTCTTGAGGGATGACTGGAAAAAAACAAAGATAAATAAGATAAAAGTAATATATAAATATAAAGCAACAGGGGACGCTGTCGGTGAGAGAACAGTGGGAATAGAGAAGTCATGTGACCCTTGTAGCAGCCGCAAATAAACCACAGCGATTGGTCACGTGGTATGGACATTCACTTATCATCTCTAAGCTTATTTGTCTTACGAGTTGCCCAAAAACCATCAGCCCCAGTAAGTAAAGTTCCACTTAACCCATAAAAGACCCGCAAGGACCTGGAACGGCCAAAGATTGAGGTCTGAGCATGACTGATCTTTATTTATTTGAAGATTATCTCTGTGCGTGAAGAGATGAGTGACCACAGTGGAAACACAAAGCTCTGAACAGCACTTGGGAATGACAGCCAGCAAAGAAATGCAACAAGAGAGAAGTACTCACACTTCTGACACGGAGATCAGCTCCGTCTTTATGTAACCCCCGTCACTGGGGCTCTCCACATCCATGGGTTCTGACGCTACAGAATGGAGGTTTGTGGTGAGATTAAGCCTCCAGCAGTTACCAGATGCTTAAAGCAGATTCCCCAAGATTACTGGGAAATCCCACCAAACATACATTTGCTGGGAATATACCATAAACCACAAACCGGGAAATGAAAAACAAAAGGATCGTTTTGTTACGGGGAAAAAAGGTTACATGCCTCATAATATGACCGTAAAAAAAATATATTGAATCTGGAAAGGTCAGTGAGATTGCTGGCACATAAACATCAAAACTAACAAAACAAGCCCCATACCTACATTTTCCTCATTAGAAGTGTAATAAAATAAGGGTAATAGGTGAGCATTATAAATTGAATATTGGGTGAATATTATCAGCTGAAACAGGTGTTTTCTGGCGTCAGCTTACGTTCAGTGGGCCTGCTGTAATATTTCCCGAAGGCGTTGTCCTTCATGATGTTGGGGTAGAGGAATCGAAGGGGATTCTCTGGAATATTCTCAGCTGCCATGACCTTGTAGTTGCGGATGATGTCGGGGAAGGAGACCGCAGTCAACTCCTTTTTGGTGTAGGGCTCCACCGCGTGGAACTGGACTTCATCTACACACACACAAAAACAAGAGCACAATGCAGATTGCAGCTGAGAAGTCTCTGCTCATCGAAGTATGGAGTCCAAATGCTGGTTTAATTATCATTTTCTAAATATTAAAGTATTAAACAAAGATAACATTAAAATTTTTCCCACCATAATGGTGTTTCAGAATTGGAAAAATACAGAATTAAATTAAATGTGAATATGTGCTGTACAATCCTTACTCAAACATTGTATATGTATACACTACCAGTCAAAAGTTTTTGCACATCAAAGGTTTTTTTACCACTTTTCAATTTATTTAATAAACAGCAGATTTTTATTCTTGTTAAGCATTGGAAAGTTAAGTGCACAACTATAAATGAATATATGATAAAAACAAGTTTCCTTTATAACATGGAAAGAGTATGTAACAGTGCATCTCTGACATCCTGTTAACTGTGGTTGGTTGCATATGCAGATGCGGAACCCACAAATATTGAGTAGGCTGCATTGACCAGTCTATCTAAAACTGCAGCCTACATATTTGATGCTTTGTCAGGATTCTTGCAGTGACCCCTGCTGGTCACAGTGAGGCCCCTCACCATTCGAGGAGCGCTCCACCCACGTGAAGGTGATGGCTCCCTCCCGGCTGCTCTCACTGAAGCGCAGCAGGAAGGTGCCCGGCTCTTTGTCTTTCAGCAGGGCTCTCTCACGCTCCTTGCTCACAAATCCCATGATGCACCTGCAGTAGGTGGCAGCAGCACATGGGCGGTCAGACGGGCCAGTGGCCATGGTGAGGGAAAAAGCCCCTGAAGTGTTTCTCACACAACTCACCCGTCATTCCACAGCGAAAGCAGGTGCCTCTTGATGAGCTCCAAGATGCCCTCAATCCACAGCCAGAAGGGGAAGTTCTTCTCGTTCGTGTTCTCCTTGAGCATACGGACCTCACTTAGCTGACCGCCGGTACCATGTGGGCCATCCATAACACAAAGCCGAACCCTAATCCCAAATGCTTTCTTCCTGCTTTGGACTAGTGGATCAATCTACAACAGCTTTGACAGATCCTTAACAGCCTTTCTGGTTTTTTAATGATTCGACTTTTCTCTCATAATATTTTCTGGCCTACTTTCTAAAAAGCTGTGGTTTGCTTGCTCAACTGGACAAAAGTGATAACATGAAGGAACCAAAGGTACAGCTGGGTTTTTGACCTGGGTTTTTGGAAGAACCTCACCTTGCAGAACTTGGTCCAGGGAATGAGACCTTCGGGGTTCCCGGCTGCCTCCCGACCTGAGATTTAAGACAAGGCGACCCAATCAGTGAGCAGAAGGCCGGTGGTGTCATCAGTGCGGACTTTCCATGAAAAATACAACATTGTGCGAATCCATCCATTTTCCAGACACTCTGTAGGAAAGACTCCAATTCCCAGACTCACCCAGGAGTTTGTCACCCAGCATGCTCAGCTGCTCGGAGTGGAGCCCACGTTTGGTGACCGAGGAGAACTGCCAGCTGAGTACTTCAGAGAGTTGGCTCCAGCAGGCCTGGGGGGGACTCAGGAAGAATGACAGGTTCTGTCATAAACGAGAGGGGGCCGGGATGGGGAGGAGAGACACAAAGAAAGGAAGTGCATTAAGGAACGTTTCACATTTGACGTTTGTCTGGCTTCCTCTGCTGATGGCATGATGGCTCCCATTAGCACACTGGGTAATGACACAGCTGGCACCTACCCTGGGCTCACTGCTGAGCATGTTGTACCAGAGGATGGAGGCCCAGCCCATTGGCAGCTGGCTCACGTTGGAGATCACCACAATGGGCAGGGAGCTGATCTGTGACATGGAGAAGAGCACGTCAGCAGGGGGCAGCAGAGGTCCGCTGGCTGTCACGGCGCCCGTCTCAGCGGGACGTCACCATCTGCCTGAGCGACTCACCTCCAGGTCGATGACAAATCCAGGCTGACAGAGCTGCGTCTCAAAGCTGATGGAGTGCAGCTCCTCGGTGACAATGAGCGGGCCCTAGAAGGAGCCCCCCCAGGCCCTCAGTCAGCGTCAGAATGCTTTCTCCCTATTCTCCTCGGTTCAGATGCATTTCGCTCATTTTGGTCCACCCCAAATCCAGAGCATACAGCTCAGAGAGCTCTGCTTGGGCCTGTGTCTTCAAGTTCCTCTTTGTCTAGTTTCTCTGCTTTGAGAAAGTGCTACACTATGCGTGGGTCTAGCTCTATTCTCCAGACTGTGCTTATGCCAGAGACTGACAGAGACTTTCTTTTACTTAAGCATGAACATGGAGTCTAGACATGTCTAAACAAACAAGATGAGAGCACAAAAACTGATAAACAGAATTTAAATAGACATAGAAATTAAAATTACAATGTGTAAATAAGAAATAAGATTTATGAATGAATGTAGACATAAAAATGAATGGAGGACCATCAAAAGCAGTAAATGTTCTTAATGAACGTCTCCATAAACTTCCAATGCTCATTTTAAATCAAAACTTGCTCACCTCATTGGTCCTGTTGCCCCCAGCTTTCTGTTCTCTGAGTTGCTGTCATAAGAACAGAATAATATAAGGATTTGCAAAAAAAATAAAACCTGCTGTAGATTAGAAATATTCAAACACACTCAATGTCCCATGAGCCCTGAAAACTGCACACACAGTACTTACTGAGCAGTTCATATTTAATATAGAAAAATTACATTCTTACCAAATGACGGAACTCAGCTGCTAAACTTCCATTGGACTCCTCCATGTTCATGACCTTTGTGTTTGTTCCCAGGATGTTGAACTTTCGGAACCTGAAGATAGTTACCATGGTTACTACAGAGCACGCAGATCCGCTCAGATTGATGGGATCCTATGATGGGTCCTTACCCTTTCAAAGTATTCTTCTCGGTGACGTCCCTGAAAAGAGAAGGAAAGCCCTTCAGTGTTCCAGAGATCCCAGAGGGGTATGGCCATGGTCAGGGTTAGCAGTACCACCCATTACAAGCGACTGGACTCTAACTTACTTGTCAAAAGAAGCTTTGACCTTAAGCTGGTAATTAAATTCCTGGAGTTTCACCAGCAGTCTGCAAAGGAAAAGGCAAACAATAAATTACATTACAATTAAACAAGCGTTACACTTTTTACAATTTATACAATTTTGCTGAGATCTAGCTATATAAAGATATCATTAATAACAGTTTTATTTATATAGTGTCTTTCTAATACTGGAATAAGGAATAATAAGGATGCTTTCCAGAAAAAACACACATATATACCTATAAATACTATGCAAAAGTCCTAGTCGAAGATGTTATTTGTTTATTGACATTTATTTTTATTTTTATATTTGTGTATATCGGTATTCTGTACGGCACTTTAGCTGATACGTGGTGTCAAACATGCTTTTTAAATAAAGTTATTGATTGACTGACTGATTGGCTCAGCCAAAAAGTCACTGATATCTAGTTGTATGGCTAGATGAACTTGGCTTCAGTTCCCAAACCTCTCCTCAGGGGCACCTCAGCCATTCCATGTGCTTGTTGAATTTCACTACCAGCACAGTTAATTTATTAATTTAATTAGTTAAATAAGTCAATGAAGTATTTATTAGCTGAACGTGGGATGTTTTTGGTCGTACCAAAAAATACATGGGTGATGCACTTTAACAGACATAATATCACAGTTTTGCACCAACATGAAGATCACAAACATCATTTTCTTTGACTGCCTAAGACTTCTGCACAGTCCTGTATACATATACAGGCGAGTGTATAACTACACTTAACACTAATAAGTGACATCATCAACACTAAACAAACTTGGAAAAATTAAGCACAGAGTGCAGATCATCAACCTGACATTTGTTGACAGAACTGGAAGCTGCCATTGATTAGCGAAAGGCTACCTGAGCTTAACAGTGAACTGCACTCCCGTTTTCAGGACGAGGGGCCTCTGTGGATGCGTGGGCATGCAGGGCTGTCTCTCCACCACCAAGGAGCTGAAAAACAGGGGGGCACAGAGGCCTCAGCTTCCGCCACGCAGGCTTCTCAGCTTCGGCACACAGGTCTTTGACACCTTCACCAGTCCGGCGAGACCTTCAAAAGTCATTTCCACTTTTGGATTTTCTCTTCCTTTTAGGGCTAAACATGCAGAACGCTCATGCGTTCACTTACTTCAAGATGAGGGTGCGGAAGAGCGAAAGGGCTCTCTCCTGCAGGAAGTGCTTCTGCTGGGTGATGGGGTCGTTGTCATACGTGTACTTCTGCTCCAGCTCCTGCAGCTTGTTGATCTGCTGCCGGACCTGCTGTAGGCATTCGGCCACCGCTGTGAACCTGCCGGACACACGGGAACCTTCCTCATCAATGTTTGAGTGTCAGCGGATGCTAGGATCTCGGGCAACTGCCACAGGGGCATTAGGTTGAGGCCCAGGACAGACCCAAACTGACATGTGGTAGCAAGTATCAGAAAGGAGGATATGTAAAGCTGCCCCCTGCTGGGCATTACCAGGTTTGGAGCTGGTCTAGGCAGGCGTTGGGTGGACCCCCAATGCAGGCGATCTGCTGGCGCCGCTTCCACTCCTGCAGCTCCTTTGTGATCAGTATGTACTGTATCTGTTCCGCCATATTGAGGGCGTCCACCATCTGCCGCACCACTTCCTTCCAGGTCATGTGACATGGGACATTAGTGCTTGTCACTTAAGGACACTACCACTTAATGCCACAGATAGCGCCCACCTACACCACTGTTTGACCTTGTTTTATGCTGCCTTTCATAAATATACTAGAGAAAAACTGTAGAAAACTACAGATTTATGATTATGAGTACACAGTATGTAAATGTATTATGAATCACTCTTGGTAAATTTGCCTGCTAAATTTAAACCTATAATTAAAACAAGGGACATTTATACATTAACAAGAAAAAAAGAACAGCTACAACCTGCAATTCTCCATGACAGACCCTCAGTAGCCCAAGCACCCACCTCTCTTTTCATGTTCAGGTTCAGGAACATCCCCTGGATCACCATCTTCTCATGCTCAATCTCTTTCTGGGTGGTCCCGTTGACCTCATGCTCTACAGGAAGAAACAAGGACAAATAGCACCCAGGACACACCATCCTCCCAGGGAAACCCTGTTACTCGCCAGCTGTGAGACTAATTCCTAGTCCACATGGTCGCATCTTGACCCCTTGGCTTGAGAGGAGGAAAGATCTAACTGAGCCACGGCATCTTTGCCTTTTGGAGGAAAATGGTTCTTTTTGCAATGCAGGCCAGGTCTCACCACACTGGGCTATCAGTTCATGTTCACAGGCTCTTACCTCGGTTGTGCAGGGTTTTGTACTTGAAGTCATGTTCGTCTTGAAGGTCCTCCAATGATTTAATCTTTTGCTCTGTATCCTTGAAACAGTAAAATACACTCCATTTCAATACAGCGCAGGTTGCCAAGATTCAACAGTAATATTAACCCAACCCAATGAAACAAACATTCCTGATGAATCCCTTTCAAGGTCCCTGTCTGAGAAATACCTGTAGAAATACCTGTAGGTTATGTTGTGTAACATACCTGGACTTTGTTTTTAATGTCCTTGACTTTGTTGTCAAGCTCCTTCTGCTTCTCAACCACCATGTTGCTGTGTGTGTTTGCACCATTGTCCTGGTAACAACGAAAGGGTCTGTCACAAAACTTTATTGGTAATTGTCAAGGATCAGGCTGTGTATTGGTTAGTCATTGTTTATTTGCAGTAGTTATTAATCAATGCATTATTTCATTTGTTTGCTAGTATTTATTTTATTTATTTACTAACACATTTGAATGCATAAGTTTCTGGATAAACACATTTAGGTTCTTTTTGCAGTATTGTTTATTTAATACACATTAAGATATGGTTTATTTTGTTTCAGTTACCATTTGTTTACCTTTTGTCTGGGAAGGGCCTAGTTTAGGAGGTAAAATGTGGCTGCAGGGTAAACTACTGAGTCTCCCCAGTAACAGGAAACTGGACTGCTCCACACTAGTATTATGTTGTGGGGGTAGTGGAGTTTTAACTTTTTTCCTTAATGTTTCGGTTATTTTTTGATTTACAGTGATAGTGATTTGGATGAGTATTGGTGATATATTTTGTTGACATTTGGTTTATGGATTGTCTTGTGATTTAATTATTTGGTTAATTGTTAAATGTCTTTTCCCCTATATTTTAATAGTTTCGCCAAGCCTCTGTGTATATATACCTGTGTCATTTTGTGAAGAGTCAGTTGCTAGTTGTTTGAGTTCTTGTGCTCTCTTAAGCTTATTTTTGATGGTTAGTTTGTTCGAACTTAAGTTTACTTTTGTTGTGTTATTTTAGTAAATGTTTGTAATAAAAACATCCTTTCCTTTAAAAAAAACCTTCCTGTGTCCTCGAGCCTGGCCTGCTTGGGCCCTTACAACTAGTTATACAAATCCTTCCTCCATAACTGCTTTTCCAGCAGACAGTGGGCTCCATCTCTAAGCTGCCCTCTCCGTAAGTTTCTTCCTCACGACCCTGTACTGGAAATGTGGTTGGAAACTGGATGGACAGCTATACAATGCACACTGATAAAGCACCTCCTTCTTAGCAGCTATGGCCAGGATCTTCTGCTCTTCTTTCAGACTGCCGCAGATGATCATGGCCATGTGCAGAGGGTCGCCCTGGAAGTTGTCCTGTAGATATAACCCAAACACCAGCTCTGTTGGCATTCATCCTGACACACATAAAGCCACCCTACATCATGCTAAGGATCACACAACATAGACAAGCATAAAGAGACCTTACATCACGATATAGATCAGTGTTTCTCAACCCGGTCCTTGGGGAACTTCAGACGGTCCACGTTCTTGCTCCCTCCCAGCTCCCTGCCAGACAGTCCACAGAAAGCAAAGACGTGGACTGTCTAGGGGACCCCGAAGACCGGTTTGAGAAATACTGATATAAATCACACAACATAAGCAGGGGGAAAAACACCCTATATAATGAAATAAATCGCACAACATGCACTAGAGTAAAGGGGGTTGCTAGAGGTAAAAAAAAGCTGAACATTAGGAAAAATTATTTTTCTTTAACCACACATTCTATGACCCATTTTTGAGTCGTGACTCAGCAGTTGAGAAATAGTGGACTACACCACATGAACAGGAATAAAGACACCCTATATTGTGATATAGATTTCACGACATAAAGACACCCTACGCCGTAATAACTACGTCAACAACAGCTTTAGAAGCTGACGGTTTATCATCAACACAGGTGAGACCCTGTGATAACACCCGAATGGAGGACAGCAACCGCAGCCGTACCTGCAGGTTGCGTTTGATCTTGCGGATGTTGTGCTGCAGCAGGAAGTTGTTCTCCAGTGTGAAGCGGCTGTACTGGTCATCCAGCTGGGCCAGGAGGTCGTGGAAGCGAACTATCGCCAGCGAGTCATTGGAAGCCACCTGCTCCCTGCAGAAGGTCAGCGATGGTATGACAATAAACGCCTGGATACACAAATTAAAACGGCAGGCCGCAGTGTATCAGGACAAAGTCGCCCCGGGAAAACAAAATAAATGCCACCTTTCATTATATCCCATCTTCAGCCATCCATCCACCACAGCCTGTGAAGATTCTTAAAAACACAAGCCAAACAAACCTGAAAAACACTTCACTTCACTGAATTCCACATGGGGCACTATGGTGGCACAATGGGACCAGGATTTGAGTCTCTGCCGTGGCTCAGTGTGCATGGAGTTGGCATGTTCTCCCCGTGTCATTGTGGGGTTGGCATGTTCTCCCCATGTCATTGTGGGGTTGGCATGTTCTCCCCGTGTCATTGTGGGGTCCCCCCCCCCCCCACAGTCAAAAAAACATACTAAGCTGAAATGTTACTACATTACCCATAAATTACCCTACCCTGTGTCTGTAGCTTCCGGTAGGGATGGGCAATAAAACGATCATTTTTGTAATGTAATTTTCCTCGATAACAATATACCAAATGCTCCATGAAAGTTCGACATAACTTAAGACCAAACATGCCGATTGTGACATGCTTTGCATCACAAAATGACGCCACTTTCTCTGTGACTACTTATCAGGACCAGCAGTGGAGCACAAGTGCAAACACAATGCAGTGATTTATTATGTGATTTATTGAACAAATAAGAGAATGCAATAGCAGGCAAATGACAGAAAAATTACATCAAGACAACAGGGCAACTCACCGGCAGAGCAGACCAGAGAGAATTAAGAAAGGGTAATAAGAATGCCAGCAGCGGCATTTTTTCGGCGCTGACTAATGCTGGGTTCCATTTGAACTCATAACTTGTAAATTCTGAGTCCCTAGTCAGAAATTTCAACTGAAACACCATCTCAAGTCAGAATTGGAATTGACAGAACCTCGAGCTCAGAATTCAACATGACTGCCCCCTTTATCAACAGAAGTTAAAGCTAAAGCTAAAGTAGTTTTATACTGTTTATTAGCACTAATGTCTTATTTGTGGCTCAGTAAATCGGTCGTAGACACAGTACTGTCCAACCACTATCAGGGGATGTGTTGCTACGGTGTTTTTATGCGCAAAATACTGCATAATGTGTTGTTATCCACTGATATTGCAAACAATGGCTAGCAATTAAACAGGCTAGAACTGGAGACAGTAAGCAGGACTTTTGTTGAATTTAAGGTAGTCTGGGCTAAATGTAAGTGAACGAAGTTAATGAGAGTGAACGAAGTTAATGAGAGTGAAGGCCATTTAAACTGGGGTAAATTAAATCCAACAAGTTAGCTGGGTAAGCAAAAAATCTTGCTTTTTGAAACGGGTCTCTGGTATTGTTAAATGGCTTTCCAACTAGCTGTACTGGTATGCTATTAACTTGTGTATGACATCATTCCCAGTTCTGAGTTCCGACCTCCTAAGTAAATGGAATGCAGCATAAAATAAACTTTTCATCTTCCATCTCAGACTTGTGAAATGCGAAATGCTGTTTGGTAGTGATGGCCAAAATGGCGCTTCATGAACCATTTGAAGTGTCTTTTGAGCCCGCGTGCCACTTTGGGAATTCCTTTATGCTTTCAGCCCCCTTTTGAACAGAGAGCTCCATCTAGTGGGGCCAGAAAATTGAGCACGGGGTTCCAGAAGCGTCATTTTGGCCATTACTACTGTTTGACAAGTGTTTGTCACGTTCTGACGATAAAGAATAGTATATAACTACAATTAACCTTCTGGTTTCCTCAATTTTAACTCAGGAGTAAAAGTCTGCCTTTAAAGTGGAAAGAAACAATGGTTTGGCAGTTATAGTGATAATTATTGATAATGACTGACATGAACATTTATATCACAATGACATTTTTGGTCATATCGACCAGCTCTGACTTCCAGGATATGCTCCAGTCCCCCCGTGAACCTGAACAGGACAAGCAGACGAGGATGCATGAATTCCACACAACACTTAGGCTAAGCCTGGAACTCATCCCCCAGTCCATCACTGGGCACACACACCCAGACCATTTTGGCAAGTTAGACACACCAAGTCACCTAACTGTATGCAGGAAACCAGAGAACTCAAATGAACCCAAATTAATCTCTCCACTTTCAGCATTCGCAACATAAATCAATGTTAACATTCTACTAGAATTATTCTGATATTTAAAAAATCAGAAAGAAGTGAAACAAATCTAAATAAAAAGGAGCAGAGATTGTTTTTTTAATTTCTAGGGTTAGAAAATTCTCCAACAACATCAATTTTTATTTAAAGAACAACGATCAATTTCTAACCAGTGATTAATCATTTTAATTATTTATTTTTGTGCACATACAGCTGTGACACTTGAGTGTTGTTAGAATAAAATACATCATTTAATCCTAATGTGACTTGACATAGTTTAAACTGCCAGTAAAAACAGCAGACGTGTACAAACACCCAACCATAAACATGTTCTATTTTAAGGAGTTAATCTTCCCCAAATAAGGGAGTTTGTCATGTTGGCCTTGATCTGACAGGAAATATCAGCCTTACAACATCACCACACTAAATTACAAGAATGCGTTCAATATGACAACAACCCTGCTTCTTTATGTTTCTTTAAAGGTAACAACACTCAGATCTTAGGTCAGGCCTTGCATTGCACAGCTAAATATCAACATGCCGCACGGTATACGGACCACTATCTCCGAACTCACAATGTCAGAGCTGCCCGCAAACAGCAGCTAATTTCAGTGCTAGCAGCTATTCACGTCTAATTCTGGTCAGTGATTCTTGGCAGGCTCAGTGCTTTTCCTACCGACGTGGCCCTACCCCCAGACCCTAACACATGAAGTAATCCCAGTAGTCACCTACCAGTCATGGCTTTCGATCCACTGGCTGAGGTACTGGCGGACCTCCATGGGGAAGTTGTCATCATACAGCTGGTCCACCTGCTCCAGGTATTTGGAGTCCAGCTGCTGGAGCTGATACCACTGGGACATCTGGAAGGCGGGGGGGGGGGGCACAGAGGTGGGGCTGAATTCTGACGTTATCACGGCTGGAGCAGCTCGATCAGGACGGGGACCCACAACGACAGGCGGTTAAACCGTAAACTGTGTCACTGACCGCCAGAAAAAGAAATTCTACAACTATCTACGGCAGGGGTCTCAAACTGCAGTGCTGGGGGGCCAGAGCCCTGTGCTTAGTTCTTTCCCTGTTCCACCACAAATGATTCAGCTCAAGAGATATTTGGTAGTTTAGCACATGGAGGTGCAAGAAGCTGAATCAGGTGTGTTAAATGAGGCGACACCCAAAACAAGTTTGACACCCCTGGTGTACAGCATGCATGTAGGGGCGGACTGGTAGGCGGGGCAGTCTGGCCACAACGAGGCCCCCCTCCAACTGTATGCGAAGGATGTGTGAGGATTAAGGTGCTGATGTCATGCAAATTATACACATTCCTGACATGCTACTTTTATATTATTCATCTTTATGCATACAATCACATTATGAGAAAAAATATTTGGTACAATACCTAAAACAATTTTGAAATGTAACAGTTTGTCATTTTTTGCAGTCAAACTATGTTGTTGAGGCGTGTATTTCATGAAAAAGGCATGTCTGGACTGCAGTGTATGATGGGTAAGATTGGGAAACTACTTAAATTTCTGCAAAATCATCTGCAACTGCTGAAACGGGCAGAGGCAAGCACTAGGTGTACATTTGTAAGGTGGGGGGGGGGGGGGGGAGGGGGGGTGGCCCATTTTTGCCCCAGGACTGAGTGTTCCGCCACTGAATGCACGTGTATTAGTGATGTTAAGATTCACCGATTCGCAAATGCATAAAAGATCAGGACGTGACTAACCCAATTAAAAAAGTGCGCACCAGATACAATTTGGGATGAACTCAGGATGCATCGTTTCTAACATCCATACATTAGGAAATATCTGATTTATTAATGCATTAATTATTAGTAGACGGTCGATGCTTTTATTATATAGAAATGTGACCAGAAATTTTAGACAGTTATATTTTTAGATGATACTCCCTCGTTTCTGTGAATCGGAATCATATTGTGTCACATTAGTAGTTGCTTCGTAGGTATTTTTACTTTATTAAATGCAATGCATCGAGATATGTACTGCATCGGCCACAGTGATGGATGTGATCTTATGAAATACATAAGAGAACTTAAGAAATGATCCTTTATTTGCCCTTTTGCACAAGTACAAATACAAATACTACGCACATCGTATTTGTATTTCTCTTCGCATATCCCATTTTCCGCTCCAAGAAACTCACAAATACATAGGCCTATACAGGTGAGAGCAAGCTTGGGGGGGGGGGGGGGTCACAGCACAGGGTCATCCACCGTTCAGTGTCCCTGGAGCCGGGGGTCGAACAGGCAATCGAACACGTACTTGTTACCCGATTAGAAGTGTTATGAATTAAGAATCTATTCTCCAACTGCATGGAACCTACCCCACACAGCACAACACACAAGGCTGGGATACTAAGCAGAAGGGATGCCAGTCCATCACAGGGCAGCTACACACAGTCATACGCTACAGGCGATATAGAGATGTCAATTAGCCTAAGTACGTGGAGTAGTTAGAGAAAAGCTGTATGACAAGAGGAGAACTACCTACATACACAAAGACCAGAGGTGGGATTCAAACCCCCAGCCATACCTGTCAAGTTTTGGATTTGAAAATAAGGGAAATTTTCGGCACCCACTGCAAGCCACCCCAACACCCCAACCAAGCTCCAGTATCCCTTACATTTTAAGACATGTGTACAAGAAAACTAAAATAACCGCTGTCATTTACATTTTATTTTCATTACACATTTTCTTTTAATTTCTCATGTTCACTCATGTGACTGTCTGGCATTCACTAATGACTTATTATACAGATTTGTTGCAGAATTTGTATCCTTGTTGAAGTCATCACAGAAGGTGAAAGTAACGTTGTTTTTGGCACACAGTATTGCCATTTTAACCTCCGCATTTATGACCTGGCTAATGTTGTAAATGACCTGCAGACTACTGCAGGTGGCAGTTCTCGCGAGGCTACTGACAGTTCAGTTTGGAGAGGCAGAGGAATATTTTTTTTAATGATATTATAATACAGGAGATTTACGGGAAAATACTAATACGGGAGGACGGCGGGAATGAGGGGTAAAATACGGTAGACTTGACAGCTATGCCCCCAGCCCTAGAGGACAGCACTGAAATTTTTAATTTTTTTTAATCCAAGCAGGTCCGTGATTTGAATATAGCCTACTTATAGATCTATAATTACATTCATTAAATTCATAGGGGACAGAGTATTCATCTTTAAGCTCTTTTGCAGCCTTCCGTCGATTCGCATACAAACGAATAGTTCGCATTTACCTATCAAATTCGCTCATGTAGCTATTATCTGCAAGTTTCGACAAAACCCCACTAAGTGTGCTGACGGAGAAGTTTGCTGACTGTGGCTCCATTACACAGGTTTTGACATAAATCGGTAGCATTATATAAACAGTCCCTATAACCACGCACAAAAAAATGCATGCAGGTGAAACCCCACTCACAATAAAAAATATTCTGCTGAAAGTACAACATTCAATACAATACGCAATAATGTTTCTTTCCTTTCTCGAGTCTCAGATATTACGTGCTGCTGCGCGAATAACGTCTGACACCGAAAAGCTTACCTTTTATACTGAACGCAATGTATCTGCTCTTATTACAGATACAAAGTAATCTTCCGTAGCTCCGTTTAATTACTTCCTCTTCTTATCACCACTTTATGAAACTATACACAACACGCACGGTACAGCTTTAAGTGAGAGGACGTCTCTAGAAATATTGATTAACAGGCCCGTCGTCCAATCAGATGCTGAAAACGGACACGCACAATGAACAGAAACAGTCCCCGCCCCGTTATTACAGTATCGTGACGGAGAGCTAAAGGCGTCGCTGTTCTCAGGAGCTGGTTTCCTCCCCACTTAACTGAGAAATTGAAACCATTTTGATATAGGTGTGTAAACAGAAACTTAACCTAGTATATCCAAGTTTATTTATTTGCACTCTATACATTCTCTTGGTACTTAATTTAGTATATGGATTCTGCATCACACTATTATCAACATAATGGTGTAGAGGCATTTAACAAAGCTTAAGGGATCATCCTGAAATTGGTAAAAAAAAATCTGAAACGATAATGCGGAACTGAATAGTAATAGTGATTTCATTTGTGGGAGTGTGTGGTTGTTAACATTACTTGTAAATCCATCTATCTGTCGTCAAACCGTTTGGATATTGTGCCCATGCCGTGAGCTGCAGCATTTCGCTAGACACGCATTTCCTCCTTATACGACACTTCAGAAGCGAGGAGGGAGGCTGACGTCGGCGCTGTAAGGGGCGCCTCAGAAACACGTGGTTTCCCAGAAATCAGGGCAGTTATGTCTGATAGAAACGAAAGTAGAAAGAAGCGAAACCTGCACTTTTACTTATTTCTACGCTTCCACCGTTGCTCATGGGCTGCACATGGTGGGTATATCCGGTTGTGAACATGGAGAAAAAAAAACACATGTGGTGTTTGTATATGCAAATTATTGTATCCACAATTTTAGTAAAACCTTATAGATTTGCTTGAACATGAACATGAAGTGTACTTATTTTTACATGATAAAAGTGGAGAAGGACTACGAGTGCAGTTACATTCATGTAGAATATATAGCCACGAGTAATATTTTGGTGTTTACCGTTTTGCTTGCTCCTGTATGATGCATATCCTTGCCATGAGAGCTCCCTCATGAAATCTCCTTATGCCACTTTAATTTTAAGTTTTTCATATCATGTTTAGACTCATAGTTTATAAAGTACCTTTTTTTTGTTTTCGTGTAACCATTTTTATGTATTTTACCAAACAACATGGAGTACCTGTGGCCTGTATCACAAAGCAGGTTTTTCTTGCTTAGCCGGATAACTTGTTGGATTTAAGGTAGTCTGGGTTAAATGTAAATGGAAAAAATAAAAAAGTTAAATTGTGGTGCTTTAATCCGACCAGCTATCCGACTAAGCCAGAAATCCTGTTTTGTGGTATAGGCCCCTGCTTGAGTAATCAATCTTCTATCGCTGGTTCCACTTCCTTTTGTATAAATTCCATTTGAGTAAGTTCTACAGGAAGTACGCTCCAACTTCTGGAATCATACTGTATTAGTGACATTTCTTAATCAGCTGGGGAATCCTTGGCTAGCAAGTGCTTTCTTATGAGAAAAAGAATCAAAAAGAAAGTCACAAAAATATCACTGGATATCTCTGCAGGAACAACAAAGGGCCAACAGCTGTAAGATGCACAATCTGGCATCGGTGTAAAAATGGCATCATTTAAGAAAAATCCAGCTCTCAATACTGGGTTGTATGTTCATACCTACCTAATCACCGATACAATCCATGTCAGGGAATATGGCTTAGCTAAATAGGTCAGCTTTTTTTGCGCTTTGGATTGTTTCCTTGATTGAAAGACTCGTTCAGCTGTTTCACATTAACATTAGTGACACATGCATGATAATAGGAGACTGACCAATCAGCACACAGCAAGTGAAATCCAGGTCCTTTTAATTAAAGTGGTAGTTTACAGATCCCGTCCTAGCTCAAAGGTTCATCCCTGACATGGAATATTTGGTCACCCTAAAACAAGGGTGGCCAATCTTATCCGCAAAGGGCCGGTGTGTATGCAGATTTTTGGGATAACCTGTAGGTCAGCTGTTCAAACCAAGGTGTGAGGACTCTTCAGCCAATCAGTCCTCTAATTAGTAATCTAATTAGGGAGTTACAGCAAAAACCCACATACACACCGGCCCTTTGTGGATAAGATTGGCCACACCTGCCCTAAAATTATTAAAAGTTCAATTTAGTTTAATTTTAGGTTTTTGTGTTGCTTCATTGATGAGCTGGATGCTTAGCAGATAAAATGTATTAATGTTGTTATTCCCTTTGAGCTCAACCCAGCCCTCGGGGACCACTAGTCGGTCCACGTTTTTGCTCTCTCCCAATTCCCTGGCAGTTGCATCCAGATATCCAGATAGGGTACATCAAAGGCTGGACACTCTGCGGACGTGTGTCCATTGTTGACCTATACTGGTTTTTATACATGTTTCATCTCTCTTATCTAGATATCCATCACAGGGGGCATCCCAAGCATCCTGTTTCTAGGTCCATATGCTACCATTGTGTTTCTCCTTACAGGGTTCAGGTATTCCACTCCCCTGTGTGTCTCCACCATTATTTCTTGTCTTTTGGGGACCAATTACTTGCGCTATATGGTAGGGCTGCCAGTCATCTAATTTGTTGGTCGAACTTTCTGGAAAATATAACTGAGGCAATACAGTCCCCTTACAATGTTCTTCATATAGTTATGGCAAGAAACCCAGAACCGTCCACGGACACTACAGTGGGAAAGCAAAACTGTTCAATAAGAAACAGTAGCAAGTTTTGGCAGTTTCAGCCGCCAACGTGGTGCTTAACCACAGAGCTGATTATATTCTTGGCCTTAAATACAGTGATAGGTTGCATAGTTAACTAAACACAATTGTTTTGGTTACATTGTGCAGCAGTAATTATTCTGCATTCTCTAAGGGTTACAAGGTCATACTTTCTATGGGTTACATTAGCAACTTCTGCTTCCATCTTCTTAGGGTGTTTTCACATATAGTCCTCTTTAAGGGAACCAAACTCAGACCTCTAGAAGTGGTCCCAAAAGTGGACCAACAGAAAGGGGGCTCAGTTCTCTTTCTGGTTTACTTAAGCTCAGATGGGGCCTCAGTCCTTTTTCTGTTCATACTATTATTTTTGCTTGTTTCCCGGAACTGTACCACGTGATCTGCCTACGGCAAAGCTAAAGGGTAAAAATTGTCGAAGCAAGCCAGGACCGCTTTGTGTTCATAACAAAGCCAGGACCGCTTTGTGTTCATAACGAAGCCAGGACCGCTTTGTGTTCATAACGAAGCCAGGACCGCTTTGTGTTCATAACGAAGCCAGGACCGCTTTGTGTTCATAATGCACAAGGTAAACGAACCGGGACACGGACTAAAAGCATTGCAGACTGAGACTACCTCCTGATGTCGTCTCAGTTCTGTTCATTTCGAAGGGCTCTGAGTTCATTTGGCATGTTCACATATACGCAAAAATTGCTGACTAATTGATCTGAGTTCTCTTTAAAGGATGAAACGGACCAAGTGTGAAAACACCCTTAATATTCTAAAGATTACATTCTCTACGTGTTATTCAGTGCTGCATAATATTCCATAGTGCCCCATGAATTTTAAATCATTTCTGGACAGTTGTTAAATATTATTAAATGACTGATTACACATGTTTATTACTTCTTGATTATGGTATTAACTAACAATGGCACAAAGAGACATTTGATAAAAAGATTTCAATGTAAACATGATATACTGAGGAGGTGTGTTTTCAATTCTGAACTCTCCATTTGAAAAAGGCTGAGAGGATTAATTCCCAGTAAAGTCTGCAGCATCTTCCCAAGTTTCAGCATTCAAAAGGGCTCCAAGTTCTGCGAACGGGCTGCAGGGCGAGTTACACATCCAGGGGAATGCGTTGCCTGGGGCTGGAACAGCGTAAGGCCTGCAACAACAAGACCCACGAGCGATCAGGAAACGAAAACCAGGCCTGACAATGATCAGAAAGCAAAAGCAACAGCAGACGTGGCGGACACTCACTGCCATGTGGAGATAGGGACAAAGTGAATAGATATATATGGCAATGCTGCAGAACAAAAAAGAAACACAGAAGAGTTATGTTATTTCATCAAATAAGATGCTGGGTGGAATAATTATGGCGAGAAGTTTTCATTCATTTTCTATCCCACTTTGTCCTATAGAAGCTCACAGGGATGTCATGGAAGCAACTGGCTCAAGCACAGTACCAACACGGTTTAGTAACTTTAGTTCACTTTGGCATAATTTTAGGCTGTGGGGGAAACACCACAATGACATGGGGAGGACATACTAACTCCATGCATGTAGAGCCATGGCAGGGAGTTGATCCCTGGTCTCCAGAAGTGCAAGTGCTAACCAGCAGGCCACACACCGGAGTAGCTTATCCCCATGAAAGTGCATTGAACTCTGTGAAGTGGCGAGCAGGTCTTGCCTTTTTTCTGTAGATGGATGTAATGGTTCCCAAAAGCTTCATCTCTGGGGATGTCTGGGTAGAGGAACTTCAGTGGGTTTTCAGGAATAGCCCCATCAGCGACCAGCTTGTAGTCATGGATGATGTCAGCAAAAGGTCGCATGCTTAGGATACTCTTAGTAAAAGGCTCAATTGAATTCAGTTTTGCTTCACCTGTGTAGGCCAAGAATTAAAAACAATTTCCCTGTTGGGATCAATCAAATAAACCTTATTTACTGTATATATAACACATAGGCTTACAATGAGTTCTTTATTGACCTCCCCGGGGAATTCCTGTTGCTGAGCAACATAACAAAACTAAATAACTACCAAAAAAGAATAACAAGAAAGTGTATAGAATTGTGCAGACGGGTCATGTGAGGTAGAAATGTGCTTGTAAACATGGCAGTTACATACTTTGGTGCAGAAGTAATTTTTTTTTGTTTCATTTGATGCTAAAGACCCACAGTTTCCCTTCCAGTTTGAGTTCAGTGGCTCTTCAGGCAGTTACTGTTTGGGCAGCCAATCAGCACTCACCATTCTGGCCTGGCTCCACCCATGTGAAGGTGATCCCACCCAGGTGGCTCTCGCTGAAGCGCAGCAGGAAGGTGCCTGGCTCCTTGTCCTTCAGCAGGGCCAACTCACGGTCCTTGCTCACAAATCCCATAATGCACCTGTCATTTTCAGCATGAAATTCCAGCTGAGATCAATTATCCTGATTTGAGGCTGGTGATTCAGTTGACTACAGCATAGCTCTCGCCACGTCTGAATAGCTAACATCAATATCGAGTAAGATGACAATAACCAATCAAGGACCCCTTTACTAGGCTTCATGCACCACACATTTGTTACCTTAAACATACAATCTGTCATTCTTATCAACCCCTATTAATAAACACAGTACCCTAGCAAAAGAAAATTAAATCCACAATTTAAATTGTGTTTAGGTTTGTGTAATGCTATGATTTTTTTTGTATTTGGTGTTTTTTACCTCTGCACAACCAGGTATTTTCAGCACACCTTGTTTGGCTAATTAACTAAGGAATGATTAATTTAACACAGTGTTTCCCGCCCTGTTCCTCGCGGACCCCCAGATGGTCCACTGGCCAGGCAGTCAAGATTTTTGCTCCCTACCAGCTCCCAGTAGGGAGCAAAAATGTCGACTGTCTGGGGTTCCCCAAGGACCGGGTTGGGAAACCCTAATTTAACAAACACATGGGATGGCTGGGGTGCCTCATGGAGAGGTTTGGGAGCCAAAAGCAGTGACCTGCAGCCTACCAACAAGATACAGTGGATATAAAAAGTGTACAAACCCCGGTTAAAATGCCAGGTTTTTGTGATGTAAAAAAAATGAGACCACGATAAATCATTTCAAAACTTTTCCCACCTTTAATGTGACCTACAGTATAACCTGTACAATTCAACTGAGAAACAAACAAACCTGTTAGGGGGGAAAAATATATATTAAAAAATGTACAATAAGCTGGTTGCATAAATGTGCACAGCCTTAAACTGATACAGTGGTACCTCAGTTCTCGAACTCATTAGAACTCAAATTTCTTAAAAGTCGAACCAACCAGTTCGAAAAAAAATTACCTAGAATGTGATCTGAATCTCATAAGTCGAACCGTGAACGCCAACCTAAGATAACTTGTACGCGCGAGGGAATGAGTCACGCGGCACGTCTCTCAGCGGAAACAAAGGGTAACGCTTCAGTCTCAGCCTCGCATTCGCTGTGATAGCATCATGCATTTTATATATTCTATATTTTCCCCCCTAACAGATTTGTTTGTTTTTCAGTTGAATTGTACAGGTTATAGGTAACATTAAAGGTGGATAAATGTTTGAAATGATTTATCATGGTTTCAGTTTTTACATCACAAAAACCTGGCATTTTAACAGGGGTGTGTATACTTTTTATATCCATTGTAAAGGTAACTATTCGGAGAACAGAAGTTATTTTTATTGCAATAACACTTAATTGTATACATTCTGAACAAATATACTGCCCAGATAAATGGCTTTAAATACAGTACTGCAGATTGGTCAACTTATTATAAAGCACATTTATTCTGAGGCATCAGATCTAATTGCATATTTCAGTCTCACATATGAAGGTACCACAATACAAACAGCTACTGACTGTACACATGTAGGAGTCTCACCCATCAATCCAAATGGCATGCAAGTATTTCTTAATGAGCTCCACGATGGAGTCCAGCCATTCCCAGAAGCTGAAGGACTTCCCAGGGAGGTTATCCTAGCAGAAACAGAGAGGGCAGGAGGACCAGAACAGAGCGTCTGCAAAACATCTACATAATGTCCCAGCTGCTGTCAAACTGTAACATTGATTCAACACTGCAGCCCAGCGATAGCAAGCAGCTGGATGTTCCTGCCATCCTGAGAACAACAGGAAACTGTCCATGGACTGAGTTTGGGAGGCTCCCAGAAAGTCAAAGAAAGGCCAGGTGTAAAAATAATAAAGTGATATGTTCTGTGAAATTGAACGTAATTATAATGAAAGCATAGGCTGTGTTATATTTTCAAGGTGCACAGGCATCATATTGAGAAATAAAATCAGTCCATCCATCCGTCTCTCCATCCATCCATTTTCTGTACTCGCTTGTCCTATGCAGGGTTGTGGGGGTCCAAAGCCTATCCTGAAAGCTATGGGTGCAAGGTAGAGAATAACCCAGGATGGGACACCAACCCATCATAGGGAACAGACACATTCACACCTACGGACAATTTGGCAACTCCACCTTGGTATGTTTTTGAACTGTGGGGGGAAACTGGAGAACCTGAGGAAACCCAATGATGATACAAGGAGAGCAGGCAAAATGTGTTCTTGCACAGTGTTCTTGCACGCCTACCTTGTGGAACATGGACCAGGACACTTGGCAATCACCATGGAGGGCATGAGGGCCTGGGATGAATATTCAAGGAAGTTAGGAATGCACTTTCATGGCATACTTTACATAGTTCTGCTCTACAGTCCAGAAGGATGTTTTCAGGTGGGTTTTGGAGGGTTAATATAAAATGGAATACATGATTTGCCGGTAAGTAAAATCTGAATTAGCTTTAGCCAATCAGAGAGGTTTACTGGTTTCAGCTGGGACTTCTACTTTACTGAATATATGAAGGTTCCTGTTCACTGGTCAAGAAAGTAACCAAAAAAATTGAGAGAAGCATGGGAAACACAATTCAAACAAATCATGAACAAATTTCTATACATATATCATTTTGTCTTCAAGTCGGGCAGTTCATGTACAAAATAGTTTGCTTTGTTTTTAGCACCACCTTCTGGCCAATCTTTGTAATTCTGATAACAATGGAATAAAATAACTTGTGACACAGTATACACCAACATGATGAAATCGGAGTGTAGCACTCCATTTAAACACCTTACCTTCTGTAAAAAGTCAGCTTAGATTTAGAGATGAATCATTTTTTAGGAACGAGGAGAACAGGAAACATGTTAAATCTCTTTACCCAGAAGCTTGTCATGCAGCATATCCAGCTGCTCCACACTGAGGCTGCGGCCTGTGTTGGTGTTCAGCTGCCAGTTCAGGGCTTCAGATAGCTGGCACCAGCTGGCACATGGCGGGTCACTGAAGAACCCCAGCTTCTGGACAAGGATGGAGAGACAGTGGAGCCAAAACAGAGGTCGATGGAACGGGAGGAAAAGAGGAGCAGATATGACACCAACCAGAGGTGATGAACCTGCCCCCAAATAAAGGTTAGATAGTAGGATAGAAATGTATTAAGTCGAGGGGTCAGCTGGACACCAAGTTTCAGGGAGAATTACATTGAACAGATGATTTTATCAAAACATTTCTGAGAAAGCATGGTCAGGCTGCCTCTGGAGCTACCGAGGGTTAACAGGCGAATTCAAGGGCTAAACCATGACATCACTCTGCTAACCATGGAATTCAAACCAATAACCGTCTGATCACAGGTACAGTGTCCTAACCCACTGAGCCACATGTCACTTCCCACCAGCTAACTTAGAAGAAACCTTTTTAAAAAGGTGGAGGGTGTACCAATACTCCTAGAAATACAAGGTTAAGTAAAAATGACAGAATATTAAACAATTACAAGGGTGACTTCACTGGGATCTTGGCCTGTTTTAATCAGATGACTATACTAACTAAATCTTTCAGCAATTCTGTTCTTTGCCAGTCACTGTCACACTTTATCGGAAACAGGAACCCCAAATGCTACAATCTGAGCAGCCAGTAGCTCTGCTATGGGAATGTGTTTACTGTGCATGCAAGAAACTTGGAAGTAGCATCATTCTATTACCCGGACAGAAAACAGAATCGTCTGGAAAATAAAGGAGAAGTTACCCTCTGCTCGTCTGTCAGCAGGTTGTACCACATGACCGAGGCCCAGCCACTGGGTAACTGGCAGCTGTTGGAGATCACCACCAAGGGCAAGGAGCAGGTCTATGGAGGAGTTTGATAATGCCGAGTTAAACCGGGTGCCGGATGAGCGCAAGGTAATGGGCAGGAAGGTGCTACCTTCTCCTTAGAGACTGACCTCCAGGTTGATGCTGAGGCCCTGCAGACAGAGCTGGGCCTCAAAGCTGAGGGTATGGAGCTCCTCGGTCACTGGGATGGAGCCCTAGGTAAATACGTGCACATGAAAACAGTCATGACTGAAACACTTGCCTATTATCAATTGGTGGGTGGAAGGGTTTCATATTTATTTAATTTGTGGGGGTGGGGGGGGCGTGGCAAGGGTGCCTCTGCACCTGCCCCATTTGCCAAAACGTTCAAAATTGCCCCACGTTTGACTTTCTGAGTGCTGTTGTTGTTGTGTATTTGTAAGGTAGCATCAAATCAGACAACATGAAAGCTGTGCACCTTCTCACCTCAGCATTCCTGGCTCCGTGGGTACTGGGGTCTTTAAGTTGCTGCAGGAGACAGTGAGCAGTATGTCACTTCATACAGCAGGAGACAGTGAGCAGTATGTCACTTCAT